GACTTTGTTTGGAAGCGTTTGGATCAACTTCATCCATTGGTCGTTGCTGGTTTTGTCTGAAAATCAGTAAATCAATCACATCAATTATGCGTTTTCGGCCTTGTTTGAAAGTACTTGGACCAGTTATAGTTGCAGTCGGTCGTTGACCTTGAGTGGGAGTGTTTAGACCGGGTTGATCCATTGGTTGTTGCCTGATTCGGCCGGAAAGGCTTAAATCCACTGGTTCTTCCTGGTATTCATTTGAAGTGCCTGGATTAGGTTCATCAGTTGGGACAGACACTCGACTGAAAGTGCCTGATGCTTGTGGTGAACGATCGTTATCAGTCGGTATCAGTATTGCATTGGCGGTTGCTGCTACAGTCAATACGAATAAAATATCAACCAATTTCATCAAACTGGTCAATGGGTTTAAACGATTAGTACAAAAATAGAGTGTTGAAACTGGTTGATTATAAAACTGAGCGTAATCGATTGTATTTATATGTTTTATATAGCAAACCAACCCTAACCCTTTTAGGTTAACCAATATACAGGGTTATTTGATTGCTTGTAGTGAGCCAATATCAAACTAGACAGTATGCTGCTCCCTATCCATAATATCATATTGATCAATTTGATGATCATGTCGATTGAATTATGCTTTTACGACCCTTTGATCAGGTATATTGAAAAGCACACCCTTCATGAGTGTTGTGTGGCCGCAAGTGCTTTGATTTACAACTGTATTCATGTCAAATGGATCACTCCAGTATTCATCCAACAATGTCTGTGTTCTGCATTGCAATATACAATGATTACTACACATTGACTGCTCGTTTGATATACAACAACCATCATATGACACACAATCATACTATAGTGTTGAATCTACACTTTGTGCACTCTTAGTAATCATACATTGTACGATCACCAAGTTTGAACCCATATTCATGTATTGTGTTTGACTGTCAATGTTGTCAATACAACTCTGCACACTCATTTGTTGTATTCTGAATCTCGGATACGATCGCAATCTAGTTCAACAACAATCATGACACATGTCAGTAATGCAATTGTTGTTTGCATGTCAACACTGTTATTTGGTGGTCCATCTACATGGATACGACTGCAAGTTGTCGTTATATCACGTATTCTAAACATGGTTTTGGTATTGCACATCCAGTCCCATCACATTGTTTCTGACCCATCATTGTAATACTGTATGTCACTATAACCATAATCATGAACATAGACATGGACATGTGGTTTCACGTATAATATTACAACCACGCATGTCGTTGGTTGAATCATCACTACTAGTGTATACTACAATACAGTGCATGTATGTTGGCATGTGTTGTACCAAGTTGATTGCATTGCTACAATATGGCATGCTCCAACCTGTTTGAATGACTGTTGTGCAACATATTGGTATTGACCACATGTGATACTGGTCACCAACAAAGTGATCAGCGGTATTCGATCGTATCATTCAATCACTGACTGCCAATACTTCAATTATGAATATTATCCACCATTTCATGACACCATCTGATACATTCAGTGCACAGTAGCTGATTGGTGCAATATGATCAATTCAAGCATACTATTACATTGGAAATGGTGGTGACAATGCAAGGTGTTTATTGGACAAACATGACTGAATGCTTACATGACAAATGCAAATTGACAGTATAAATCATATATACACACTGCAGTACAACATATTCTAAACAAGGTTGTTGATAGCGTGATTCCAGTTTTACAATGAAATTGAATTACCAAGCAGTCCAGTGTCCAAACATTGATTTACTATACACTTTTAGTTATGGTGGTTTGCGTAGAAATGTTCAAGTATGCCTTCTATATCCAATGAACCTCAGCATTTGTCGTTTGAATCTATTAAACTTTGAACGTAATGAAGGAAGTTGAATATCATATTCTTGCAGTACACTAGATTCACTTGAATATCTAGCAATTTTAGTCGTTGGTACAAAGTGTACTTTAGCTTCCCTTGAACCAGCATCGTGACTTGACTTTTGCTGATGTTTTTTAGAATGATCGTGTTTTGAGCCGTGGGGTTTAAAAGTAGATTTGGGTTTCAAGATGGATTTTAATTCTGGAGTAGGTTCAGATACAACTCTGATTGATTCTTCTTTGAGAGGTTCAAGAACGCCGACTTGCGACATACCCA